TCTATTCCTCACTGTGTGTTGTAGAGTCCCAGTAGATGGTATGTCCCCAGAGGAGCCCCAGGAACACTGGCAGTACAGGACTGCCTACAGGAGTGGGATACAAAATCTCAACTGTCAGCTGATCTACCCTCGTTGTCCTCTCTCTATTCCTCACTGTGTGTTGTAGAGTCCCAGTAGATGGTGTGTCCCTAGAGGAGCCCCAGGAACACTGGCAGTACACGACTGCCTACAGGAGTGGGATACAAAATCTCAACTGTCAGCTGATCTACCCTCGTTGTCCTCTCTCTATTCCTCACTGTGTGTTGTAGAGTCCCAGTAGATGGTATGTCCCCAGAGGAGCCCCAGGAACACTGGCAGTACAGGACTGCCTACAAGAGTGGGATACAAAATCTCAACTGTCAGCTGATCTACCCTCGTTGTCCTCTCTCTATTCCTCACTGTGTGTTGTAGAGTCCCAGTAGATGGTATGTCCCCAGAGGAGCCCCGGGAACACTGGCAGTACAGGACTGCCTACAAGAGTGGGATACAAAATCTCAACTGTCAGCTGATCTACCCTCGTTGTCCTCTCTCTATTCCTCACTGTGTGTTGTAGAGTCCCAGTAGATGGTATGTCCCCAGAGGAGCCCCAGGAACACTGGCAGTACAGGACTGCCTACAGGAGTGGGATACAAAACCTCAACTGTCAGCTGATCTACCGTCGTTATCTTCTCTCTATTCCTCACTGTGTGTTGTAGAGTCCCAGTAGATGGTATGTCCCCACAGGAGCCCCAGGAACACTGGCAGTACACGACTGCCTACAAGAGTGGGATACAAAACCTCAACTGCCAGCTGATCTACCGTCGTTATCTTCTCTCTATTCCTCACTGTGTGTTGTAGAGTCCCAGTAGATGGTATGTCCCCAGAGGAGCCCCAGGAACACTGGCAGTACACGACTGCCTACAAGAGTGGGATACAAAACCTCAACTGCCAGCTGATCTACCGTCGTTATCTTCTCTCTATTCCTCACTGTGTGTTGTAGAGTCCCAGTAGATGGTATGTCCCCACAGGAGCCCCAGGAACACTGGCAGTACACGACTGCCTACAAGAGTGGGATACAAAACCTCAACTGCCAGCTGATCTACCGTCGTTATCTTCTCTCTATTCCTCACTGTGTGTTGTAGAGTCCCAGTAGATGGTATGTCCCCACAGGAGCCCCAGGAACACTGGCAGTACACGACTGCCTACAAGAGTGGGATACAAAACCTCAACTGCCAGCTGATCTACCGTCGTTATCTTCTCTCTATTCCTCACTGTGTGTTGTAGGGTCCCAGTAGATGGTATGTCCCCAGAGGAGCCCCAGGAACACTGGCAGTACACGACTGCCTACAAGAGTGGGATACAAAACCTCAACTGCCAGCTGATCTACCGTCGTTATCTTCTCTCTATTCCTCACTGTGTGTTGTAGAGTCCCAGTAGATGGTATGTCCCCAGAGGAGCCCCAGGAACACTGGCAGTACAGGACTGCCTACAGGAGTGGGATACAAAACATCAACTGTCAGCTGATCTACCGTCGTTATCTTCTCTCTATTCCTCACTGTGTGTTGTAGAGTCCCAGTAGATGGTATGTCCCCAGAGGAGCCCCAGGAACACTGGCAGTACAGGACTGCCTACAGGAGTGGGATACAAAACATCAACTGTCAGCTGATCTACCGTCGTTATCTTCTCTCTATTCCTCACTGTGTGTTGTAGAGTCCCAGTAGATGGTATGTCCCCAGAGGAGCCCCAGGAACACTGGCAGTACAGGACTGCCTACAGGAGTGGGATACAAAACCTCAACTGTCAGCTGATTTACCCTCGTCGTCCTCTCTCTATTCCTCACTGTGTGTTGTAGAGTCCCAGTAGATGGTATGTCCCCAGAGGAGCCCCAGGGACACTGGCAGTACACGACTGCCTACAGGAGTGGGATACAAAACCTCAACTGTCAGCTGATCTACCCTCGTTGTCCTCTCTCTATTCCTCACTGTGTGTTGTAGAGTCCCAGTAGATGGTATGTCCCCAGAGGAGCCCCAGGAACACTGGCAGTACAGGACTGCCTACAGGAGTGGGATACAAAACCTCAACTGTCAGCTGATCTACCCTCGTTGTCCTATTTCACTGCTCTCTCTCCTAATGACCTTAGAGCCAGCAAATTTGTTTTATAAATAAATCAATTGTGGGGATAGTTGTACATATTTAAATCCTAAACTTATGCTTTCATATTTACATTTAAAATAATTAGGTTATTTATAACACCGGTATGAAAAAAAACTGATGAGTGTTAAGATGAGTGTTAAAAATAAAATGTCAGCTTTGTTATTGACTGGGATCAGCTGATTCTTTAGCCAATAAAGGGATGTAAAGACTAAAAAAGATACTGTAGATTGAATGTGAATGATCTTTTTTAGTCAGGTACTGTTATCAACCATAAAATAATACTCTGACTCTTCTCCTGATCAAGTCTGGTATTAGTTTGCTTTTATAACCACTAGATGCATTTTTTCGGAGATGTTAACAATATGGCGGCTGACGATGATGATGTGCCTGAGATTGCCACAATCACGGATCACAGTCGTCACATTGTTAAACAGTTCAATAGAGTCCAAAAGTTTATTTTATTTGCCATTGTTGCTATTTGCAAGAATCCTTACTCAACATTTTCAATAAACTAAAGTTTCACTCGTTCCACCGGCTGAAAACTTACATATCAAAAATCAGGAAGGAACTAAAAATCCTGCACCAAGCTAAAATTACAATCCCGTCCATCCCTAAAGTTTAGTTGGTGTAATCCTTTCAAAAAGCAGGATTTGGTTTGAGTAAATCTTTGTCTGCTTTAAGTGTCTATAGACTTCTCATCCTATCAATAATATTATAAAAGATGAAGCCATTTAAAATAGATGTTTAATTTCGGTTTACTTTTGAGCGAGATGAAATTGATTAAATGGGGTTTTCTTATTAGATAAAAATACTGTATTTTTTGCCTTACTCACAAGATGGGAAATTCAGGTAGCCCAAAATGTTAGTACGGAGGCTATGTCTACGATTATATCCCCCATGACATCTTCCATTACGTGAGCCTAAGATGAGACATTGAAATGGCCTTAGGCTCGATATCTTTGAACACAGTCATCTAATGTATTCTAGTCCCATATCTTGGAAAAGTGTGCCTGCATTCTCCAGAGCACTGAAGGAGCCAAACTTGCACTGTGATGCACCAAGCGCAGCTAAACCTGGTGGAACATTGTTTTTGGAGCTGGGAGTACCATCTCTGGCATACAATATCTGGAATATCAATAATCTGGAATACCATCTGGAATGCACCCTCTTGAAGTAATTGTGAACAGCGATTACTAAAGTGCTTCTATTTCTTGGATTGATAGTTTTATAGCTGGCAAGTGTTTTATACATTAAGGTAGAATACACTTATATTAATTATGATGAATACTGATTTTCTCTATGTAAAAAGTGCGATGCATCCACTACCCTTCGAAATTCCTAATCGATTCGATCCCGATTCAGTGGTGGTCAAAAAACGATTCAGTTCATGTAATCAGTCAGTAAACAGTAATCATATTCGAAAATGCCTGCAGAAAGTCAATGCAATACCCGCAACACAGGAACGCGTTGTTGTTGCGTTTTCTTTGCGAAGGCGTTCTTATTTGGAGTCGTATACCACGCTTGTTAAATTGACAAACTTTAGGTACCTATTACTCTTAGAATACTTTACTCAATTTAATTACTAGGCTCCAGAAATTTGTCCAGACTGACATCTTGTTAAAAGCCTATTATGGGTGTGTTCACAGTATAATATCTTTTGTAATAGTGTTCTGGGGAGGTAGTACCATGGCCAACAAAATCTTTCTTCTACAGAATCGAATTATTAGGAGAATGTGTGGTTTTTTCTTTTTTTTAAGAGGTTGGCGGCCTCTTTTAACCTTGCATTTGCCCGTCCACATAGACTAAGCGCCCGTGCGTGGATCGTTTACAGCAAAGCAAGGAGTGAGCCGGTACAGTACAAAGGTGAACTGTACTGATAAAATGTTATCGGCAGTGACCAGGATCCGAACCCACGACATCGCTGCCCTGGGCCCGAAGTCCGCGACGCTACCGACTGAGCCACCGACTCACTAAAGAATATGGTGCTCAACGCCCAGCTCTCAGTAAGCCTCTGTTCAAGGGCCTGGGAATTTTAACGAGGGTATTTATTGAGGGTACACTATTTATTTTAGAATCTGACATATTGGTTAAAATAATCCGAACATCTTTTTTACAAACAATCTGGTCCATCAGTACAACACGAGAAGAGCTAACTCAGTTGTAAACTAATCGTAAATAGATTATACAACAAGTCGGAAGCTACATATTTGTTTTGTCATAAGTATAATAAATTATTTATTCGTAGCGCATTTTCGTTGTTTCATTCGGCTTCGGCTACCTGTCACACATGTACCTCAATTTGATTCAACCTTGGCCTGCAAGAGCTCATATTTTATTAGCATCAAGCTTTTTGGTAGGTATAACTCACTACCAAAGAACATAATTTAAGAACAAATACCAATAAATTTAAGAAGATGTTAAAGGAATGTTTATGTAGAGCGGCCTACATTAAAGTGGATGATATAATAAATTAGGTGTATTATGTTTTTACATCCATTTTGACGATCACGTGGCAGGAGTGATGCTAGTGGGACATCATCAAGTATCAAGTAAGTACGCACCCACCTCTCTCCTCTTAAAATGCCTTAAGCTGATCTCAAAGGTAACAAATCCAAAAAAGAGAACATTGTGCGAGTGCAAAAAAATTTGATATACCTGACAGTCATAATGCAACATGTTGATTGATTCCCCCGTGATGTCACTAAACACACACACACATGGCATGTATCATGTAATTTCAACTATCATAAAATTACTAAATCAGCTGACAAAAAATAAATGCTTTGTGTTTGTATTGTGTCCATCATCAAGTTGTTTATCAACATGATCAAAATGTCAACCAAGAAATAAGTCAAGCTACTACAGACCAAGATTTATTGCAAGTTTTTTAAATTATTTGTGAAAATGTCTGTCAACCTATTTGCAAGGAGTTCAAAATCATTACTGTTCCAAGAATATCAAATATATCAGAAAATTACAAATAAAATATGGACGAATTCTAATAGAGTCATACATAACAACTTACTGAAAAGTCAGTTGAAAGCCATAGTTCCATCTATTGTTCAATCAGTAAATACAGATACTTTATTGACCACAGGTAAGAGATTCTTATACCACCATAATGCAGTTTTATCAATTGCATTTCCGTTGATATTATCTTTTCTTGAATATTAGTTGTAGTTTATATTTTATATTATTTTTCTGTGAGGGGTCGGTGGTGGGGGCCATGGATTTTAGTGTGAAAAGCTAAATTTAAAATCCACTATGCTCTTTAACAGATTGTGTTTTACTGTGACTTGTTTGTAGAGGAGTGCGTTTTCCTGCGACTCTCAAACAAGATACTTGCTTGCGCTAAATAAAGTTCCTACGGACCATGATGCAATTGATTGAAGCTATCCCCGTTTTTAAGTTTGCTTCTCACTTTGAAACAGGTGAACTTCTCATGAGCTTCATATCGGACCTGACTGAAACATTATTTAAACTTGAACCCTATTGAATATTTGATGCACCACATGAAGGGTCGCGGTTTGGAAGTGTCTTGATACCGGCCCAATAGAGAATTGCGATCTTTCCGCCTCCTTGTGGATGATCTTTTCATGAAAGACCTTTCATCTTTTCTCATCATTGCACCCCTAACAAACCAAAAACCTATTGCGCCTCTGGTCCATTAATGAAGCGGACATGACCACATGTCAGTTAAATCAGCTCTTTTGGTGGAGTTATGAACACATTTCTAAGTGAAGGTTTGTTTATTTTACTTTAGATGGACAAACTGTCAGGCCCCAAGAGATTGCGAGTTGTCAACAAATATTTACAATCAAAATCATGCACTCTGATATTGAGCTTGATCCTTTAAATTTAGGTAAGAACACCTGCTGTATTGCTAATTTCCAAAGACTCTCTTCGAAAGAGTCATACGAAGACATTCCAATTTGTCTCTCAGAACTACGAAGTCTTCTGAAGAATGGTAATGCTGTGCTGATTGATGTCAGAACTGAAAGGGAAACTTGGAGATCTGGAGTATTGCCTGGAAGTATTTGTGTCCCTTGTAAGTGTTCGAATGTAAAATGTACTTCTATCTTTTACTAGTGTACATGTTGCTCGAATTTGAGCAATTTCAAAATATTACAGGTGTTATCTTAAAACAAATAGCAGTCACAATTTCCGATGAGTTTAAAAGAGTCAACTCAAAGATAATGTAACTAATGGAAATACTCACAACGTCCATACCAGTTCGATATAATCAACATTCCTCGTAAATATTTTATAATTTTTCAAAGGCTGATCTTTTATTTATTTGGTGTTTTCTACAAATGTTTCCCACTCATTGCCGAATTAGATTGTGCATTATTATATTCGTCATTGATAATGTAGAAACATGGTACCACCATTGTTGCCAGTATGTTTAAAATTTAATGATTTTTTTAAATAACGATAACATTTGTTCACATTACTTAAAAACCAAGAACTACCAGATTTCCTGTGTAGGTAACCTGTCTTTCACAATTTTATATGCTGCAATTGGCATTCTTTTGGTTAGTGGCTTTAATAACGTCAATTATATTTACCTGAGAAAAAGCAGAGTTAAACGATCTGATGTGGTTCAGATGATTTTTTTGTTTCCCTTAACTGTTGGAAATCGAGTTATATAGTACAAATTCAATAATGATCAACATCCAATATAATAATTTGTTAGTCTTTGTTTTTATGAACAGATGGTTTATTTTAATTTATTTAAACAATTGAGAAGAGTTGTGGTAAGAATTTTAAAAGTGACCAAGAACATAACAATTTAGTTAAAGAAAAATGTTATGAAATATTTGTTATGTATCAGAATAAAATCAGTTCTTTATTAGATAATATTTTGTAAAAGTTCTTATTTCACACGAGTTCTAACATAGTGGCGACCGTGACAGGACATTTTTATAGTTAAAATTCAGATTTAGGACTAAGCTTATATTTTACTTTACAATGGATAAGCTGAAGTCATTAAAGACAAAAAGGACTCAACTAAGAAGGACTTTTACAAAGTGTAGTAATGAAATGGATAAATTACTGGCAGAGGATATTAAAGATGAAGCAGCAATTAAAAGTAATCTAAACAAGTTGCAAGATAAAGCTGATAGGCTTTTTAAGCTAGATAAAGACATCGAGGAAGCCTTGTTTGAAGATCCTGCAACAACGGAAGAGGACTTAGAAGCTGAGTTTGATACTACAGAATCTTACAGAGACATGTTATCTTCAATGAGAGCTAAGTATGACCATTTCATTATTCAGGTTGGCCTAAGCCAACAGTCAAGAAGTGAAGTCGGGGATACCGTTCACAGTCTTAAATTAGCATCTAAGAAGGGCTTAAGTCTACCTAAATTACAATTAAACCAGTTTGATGGAGATGTAAAAAATTGGATAGGGTTTTGGGGGCAGTTTAAGAAGGTCCATGAGGATCCTGATCTAGAACCTGAGGATAAATTCCAATACCTCATCCAATCTTTAAAACCAGGATCGTCCCCTAGGGAATTAGTAGAACGTTTTCCACCATTGGGAACTAATTATGTAAAGGCCCTAGAACAATTAAAAGCAAGATTTGGTAGGGATGACTTTTTAATAGAAGTATATGTGAGGGAACTGCTCAGTTTAGTGCTCCAACAAGTAACGCTAGGTCCTAATACTAAACTGTGCCGACTGTATGACAAACTAGAAACACAGTTAAGGGCACTTGAAACTTTAGGAGTCACTTCAGACAAGTACGCTTCAATGCTGTATCCTCTGGTAGAATCTGCTTTGCCCGAAGAAACATTACGAGCCTGGGAGCGGCATCGTTCAAGTAAGTTACCACACACACCCTCGACTTCTGCATTGTCAGATGATAAATCAAGTAATTTTTTACAAGAACTTCTTGATTTTCTAAAGGCTGAGGTGGAGAGTGAAGAGAGGCTGGCTCTTGCTCGTTCGAGTTTTAAATCTGCCACTCCAGGAGACAACAACAGTAAATGCAGCAGCCCCAGGAAAATGTCAACGGTACACGAACCTCGTCAGAGTGAACCTACGGTAACAGCTCTATTGACAACTGGTACAGAGGGTTCTAGAAGGTTGGTGAGTAACTGCACTTATTGTTCTAAAGGAGGGCACAATGCTCAAGATTGTTCCTATTTTCAACAATTGACTTTAGATGGAAGAAAGGAGCATCTGAAAAAGAAAAATTGTTGCTTTGTGTGCTTGAAGCAAGGTCACTCAGCAAAAAAGTGCAAGGTATTTGTCAAATGTCTCTTCTGTTGTAAAAGGCATTATGGGATCATGTGTAGGGACTTATATGAAAGTAGATCTAAAATTTATGTTGACAAACCAGACTTACAGCAGCAAAGTATAACTAAGCCTAAGTCAGAGGTTCTCAGTAATTTTGGAAATGGTACAGGAGAAACTCTATTACAGACTCTATTAGTTAAGGTTGCAGATGAGAAAGGTAAAGAGCATTTGGGAAGAGTACTTCTAGATCCAGGTTCCCAGAGATCCTACATTACTAAGGACTGTGTCACTAAATTGGGTCTAAAAGAAACAGGTAGTGAAGTCATTAATCATAGTTTGTTTGGTGGGGTAAATCTAAAACAAAAATCTCATAAAAGTTACCTAGTGACTCTTCAGAATGTAAATAACTCTTTCAAGATCTCTATTCCTGTGACAGATCAAGAAACAATTTGCAACCATGTATCTAGGCTTAAGAGTGAAGAGTATTTCGACATCTTGAAAGATAAGAACATTATTTTAACTGATGTAGGTGAAAATGTACCAGATGTAAAAATGTTACTTGGTGCAGATGTATTAGTGGATTTGTATACAGGAACTATCCAGAGGATTGACGACAAATTAGTTGCTATTGAAACGTACCTTGGATGGACCGTGATGGGGAAACAACCACGCAGTGGAAGTCGTAATACGTCTCTTCTAACTTTATTTTGCCAGAGTAAACCAGAATTCAGAGATCTAGGGAGCTGGGAGACAATCAGAAGAAGGGATCCTATTGGGGTGAAACAGAGGGACTCCATTGATGCAGAAGTATTTCAACATTTCAAAGAAAATGTAAGAGTGAATGTTGAGAATAGGTACAAAGTATGTTTGCCGTGGTTGGAGGGTCATCCTGAACTTCTAGACAATCATGAAATTGCAGAGAGACGTTTGATGTCATCAACTAGAAGATTAAATACCCTTAACAAATTCAACGACTATGATAAAGTCTTCAAAGAATGGTTAGAAGAAGGGATTATAGAAAATGTTCCAGAATCAGCAGAGTCAACAAAGGTACATTACCTGCCGCATCACCCAGTCATAAAAGAGAGTAGCTTAACTACTAAAATACGTCCAGTGTTTTATGGGTCTACAAAGAACAGAAGAGGTAATCCATTAAACGAATGTTTTGCTCCAGGTCCAAATTTGGTAAATTTAATTCCATATTGTGTAATGAAATACAGGAAGCAGTTGGATCAGAAAACTATGAAAGATAAATTAGAGATCAATCAAATATCCTGGAAGTTCGATCCTCCAAGCACCCCATGGTGGGAAAGTATGTGGAAACAACTTGAGAGAATGATGAAAACATCGAAGAGATCAAGATTTAAGAAAAGGTATCTTGCAATGCTCGTATATGTTGAAACGCAAGATAATTCCTCTTCCTCAACCTCTACAGAAACAAGAAGAGGGAAAAAGATCAAAATTTCCAAGGAAAATGGATTTGTGAACTTAAAAAAAAAAAATGTGTAAATAGTTTTGTTTGAAATTTTCATAGTGTAAAACAAAATTCCAAGGTGGGGAGGATGTTGGAAATCGAGTTATATTTTATATAGTACAAATTCAATAATGATCAACATCCAATATAATAATTTGTTAGTCTTTGTTTTTATGAACAGATGGTTTATTTTAATTTATTTAAACAATTGAGAAGAGTTGTGGTAAGAATTTTAAAAGTGACCAAGAACATAACAATTTAGTTAAAGAAAAATGTTATGAAATATTTGTTATGTATCAGAATAAAATCAGTTCTTCATTAGATAATATTTTGTAAAAGTTCTTTATTTCACACGAGTTCTAACACCTTAACTGTGAATACTAATTGCAACTTCAATGAAAGTTTTATTAAAAAAGTAAAAGTTTCTTGGATGTATCAGGCTAATATTTTTCTAAAATCACTTGACTTTTATGAAAAGAAAACATATATTTAATCATAATTTAAACATAATTTTATATGTAGATAGAAAAAAAGACAATTAAAGCATAGGTGACTTGCCTTCTTAGGGGAATTAAAATAAACGGTATCAACATTCTGACACATACTTTCTCCCATAAGTTTGTCAACAACCTTTATCATGTGTTAGCGGTGAGAGTAAATATACGGAAATGGTATTTGTAAATGTTTTTTCAGAATTTAAAGGACTATTACATAGTAAAACTATAAATAGTAACATAGTAAAAAAGGAGCAGATACCGGTAGTCCGCTAAGGCTGCAAGTCAAGTTCTGGTATGTAACAAGTTGTTAAATCATCTCCCAATAATAAAAAAAACTCTATTATTGGCATCAGGCTTCAAGATGGGATCTGGAAAGATGGCAAACTGACACTACCAAGCAATTAAGCAAAACTCTGTGATGTTGCAGTCAGATTATTATCGAACTTTGGAAAAAGATGTCACTTATATTATTATTGATGCTTACTGCCATGAGCCCCACTCCTTCTCTAGACGAACAGTGTACAAAAATGACACAGCACAACAGTTTTCCCTTGGTTTTAATGTGTTAATTCTGTTGGTTTATCTGGAAATCTTTCAAATTCTTATCACTTTTAGATTCGAGGGGTCATGTAAGGGGGCAGAGGGAGATAACACATGATTTACTAGGAGAGCATGTACAGAGGAATTTTCATAATTTCCTTTCAATTGTGTTTTTGTAGAACAAAATATTTTAAACGATGAACCCCTCTAAACGATGAAAAACTGTTTAATGGCCCTCTATTCCTGTGCTGTGTCTTTGTTTGACTTAGTAGCGGGAACTATATTTAATTTAAACTTATGGAAACTGTGATGTATCTGTCACCAATCAAATTCTTATAACTTAGTGAATTGATTAGGTACTAGCTACTATTTATTTTCAGTACATCAACTTGATGAAGCTCTAAAAATGGCTCCCGAAGATTTTTTAAGGAAATATTGCAATGGGAAACCAACTAAGGATAAAACTATCATATTCGTGTGTCAAAGAGGATCAAGATCGTTTCACGCGGCTAAGAAAGCACGGCAATTGGGATATGAAAGGTTTTTTAATAATATGTATTAACTATTGCTTGTTTAGCAGTATGATCAAATTAGTTTGATATTATAAGAAGACAAATCTAGTTCTTTGGGTGATGATAACCTTGCAGAACCAGTTTCAGGTACATGCAAAAGCTGTGGCTGCACAGAGCTCCGCAACTGGTGAAAAAATTTGAAAAAGTAGTGTAAGTTATGTAGGTAAATTATGTCAATTGTGAAGATAGAAAAAGAGGGGAGTATAAGTATTAACATTATGCATTGAGATTTTTGTTAGTATTTTTGGGATAGGCTACTACTTTTATAGTAGTGAGGGGCCCGCTCTGTATCTTTATACTGTGCCCTACACCACTCGAAGCCGGATCTGCAACCACGTCGTTGAATAATCTAAACTAACTAGAGGCAGACATTTCGTTTGGGTAATAACTTTGACTATTAATACTTCAGTATCCAATAGTCAATGGTAATAATCCAACTTCAGGATAAACTGCTATTTAACTGGAGAGGTTCTTGTGCTTCATCGTTTGTAGGTTATTTTGGAGTGTGGGTGACGATTGTATGTTGAGTCTTGTCAAAACGTTCCTGGATTCTGTAATGTTCTGAAATGTTGTTGTGCAGGGAGTGACTGATACTATTGTCTGTGCTGATACCTGAACTGTTTTTGTGATAGGCTAAGAATGGTTTAGCTTATTCAACGACGACGTGGTCATCACCCGAAGACCTAGATTTGACACTCTACTGTGACCGTGGAGGCCATAATCTTGCTTACCCTAGTAGCACAAATATGTATTTTATAAATATTTTATATATTCAAAGTTGTATTTGATAGAACCTCGAATAAAATATGTAAATAATATATCTTTAATAATAGTTTGATATATTCAAATATATATTTAAAATATTAACAAAAAGCAATGCAAAATATCAATTAAATATAAGTTTCGAATATATAAAATAGATTCATAATATATATTGATAAAATAAGTATAGAATCTATAATATACATATTATATATATATATATATATATATATATATATTTCCTGTTAAATATAGAAAAATATGTGTTGAGAATATTTTAAATATTTATAAAAAATATTTTTGAAACTGTATTATATATTTAAAGTATTTATAAACATATTTTGAAACACGTCAGATATTTTATTAATAAAATAATAATATATTTGTAGAGTATATATAATCTATTATAATTGGCAAATAAATAATTTGCATCTTTTTTTTTTGTATAGTGTCCATCAATTTATACATGCATTTTTTGTATGATAATTGCTATTGTGAAAGCGTTAAAAGTAAGTAAATAATAATACATACTCTGAATGGTGTCACTCTATCATGCACGTAAAGACAAACTGTATTTGTATTCGTGGGGACTATCCACTATTCATAACAGCACTATTCAACTCAAATACTTGATGCCAAAACAGATTAACAGAATCATATTATACTGTAGTATCAAAAATATTTCAAGTATTGCGGCCATTTCAACTGTCGGCTACTCTTTCACCTTTTTAAAACTAAGACTATCAACAGTCACAGATGGCTCAGAGGTAAGGTACGAGACTCACAAGTGGAAGGACCTAAGTTTGAGACCCGTCTGGGTAAAAAAAAATGTATCTAGTTTTTTTCCAAAATTTGTTTTTATGAACTATTTAATCAATTTGCTCAACTGATAATTATTGTGCTTTTCATACTAAATCTTTATTATTTTGTCTTTTTATGTTAGGCCCCATGGGATGTTTGGAAGTGATATTAAATACATTTTTTATTTAAATATCATTCACTAAAATATATTATTGGAACATATTTTTTTAATATTTAATAGATTCAAAAACATATTTTTTATATATTTAATATATTTTAAATATTATATAAAATTGACATTAATACACACTTATATATAAAAGAGATATACCGGGTGTCCAAAACCACCCGTACACCCCTTTCAAAACGATGGAAACCATTTCTTACAAACAAAAAATAATACAGAACTAGCTAAATTGGGCACGGTCTACCATATGGTGACAATTTCAAATCCAAAATCACACCGGAAGTCGCTTTTTCAGACCGGAAGTTGACTTTTTTGAATGTAAACTACCAATTTTGATTACAGAATCGGATTCTACGTTGAAAAATACATAACTTTTGCCTAAAACATTTTTTGAAAAAAATTGTTTTCTACCTCTAATCCCCCATTAAAGTCAATAATTTTTGGTCATTCATGTGTCAAAGTTACTTGAAACAATAATAGAGAAAAACAAATAACAAAGATTACATAAAGACATATGATGAATAGAATCAGCTGTTTATTTTAAACACCTTAGCAATTGATTAACAGTTGGTCTACACATTGCTTAATTTCATTTTATTTTAAAAATAAATCATTTGTTTTTACATTTAAGGGGTCAAATGTAAAAATAAATTTAAAAAAAAATTAAACTTAGCAATGTGTAGACTGCAGCTGTTACTCAATTGCTAAGGTGTTTAAAATAAACAGCTGATTCTATTCATCATATGTCTTTATGTAATCTTTGTTATTTGTTTTTCTCTATTATTGTTTCGAGTAACTTTGACACATGAATGACCAAAAATTATTGACTTTAATGGGGGATTAGAGGTAGAAAACAATTTTTTCCAAAAAATGTTTTAGGCAAAAGTCATGTATTTTTCAACGTAGAATCCGATTCTGTAATCAAAATTGGTAGCTTACATTTAAAAAAGTCAACTTCCGGTCTGAAAAAGTCACTTCCGGTGGGATTTTGGATTTGAAATTATCACTATTTGGTAGACCGTGCCCAATTTAGCTAGTTCTGTATTATTTTTTGTTTGTAAGAAAAGGTTTCCATCGTTTTGAAAGGGGTGTACGGGTGGTTTTGGACACCCGGTATAAAATAGATTTTATAAATATTTATTCATATGTATTTAATATATATTTGTGCTACTAGGGTAGAGTTGCACTACTTTTATAGTTTTAGAGTGCAGATCTAAATTGTTGATAATAATTTAGGAATCCTTGTATAGTACAAAAGATAATTTATTTAGTTTGTGATAGTATGTTTTTCTAAACATATAGCAATTTACCACAAAAGTATGTACACTACAACCGTTTTTAAGGATACTAACATGCATAGTATTTTGTTAATTTGTTTGTGTTTTGTTGGTAAACCTAATTTAATTGAGAATTGATATTAGATTTATGTATGTGTAATCATTTTTAGTGTGCATTCAGTTCAAGGTGGGTTTGTAAAATGGTTTGATAGACAAAGGAAGATAAGGGAGTATCAAGACCAAGCTAAAGAGTGTGAGAGTGACTGAATAAAATATATAGTGAATGAAAACTGGAGATGAAAAGCTTTAGTAATAATACTAAAATGAAAATGTAAACGACTTTAAAACTAATAAAGTGTCAGATTTAAAATGGACAAATCTTGTGTTTTATCGTTAACTTTTTATTTTGATGTTTTACTTCATGTAAAACTACAAGGATTTTTCATTTTTGGATGTAAGGATAGCAGGCTTACCTAAATGAAAGAGTCCAAACTCTGGGACAAAAAACACAAAAACATAACATAATTTACATGCATACAAAGCATTAGATAGTTCATATTCAATACTCAACAAAACTAGGGTTAAAATAAATCAAGTGGAAATTATAGGTTATACGATTATTTTTCCTTTATGGCCATATTTAAAACTAATTACCAAAAACTATGTTCAATCGAGTTGCAATATTACTGCCAGTCAACAAGTCTTTTAAAATTTAATTTGACCGCCATAAGTAAAATCAATAATTATTTACAATTAATTTTGAGTTTTTATCTTATTGCAGGGTGTTAAAAAAGGTGATGACATAATTTACACGTAGTGATTCCTTGAGTGAAAATAAAGAGAAATTCAAGAATAACATTTTTCCAAAACCGCTTTGTTAACCAGGTATCCACCATTTTGTAACTTTTACATAAACATTTTTATTTTAGATTTTTTCAACCATCTTTATGAAACTTGCTACGTATGTTGATATAGAAGAAAATTGTCAGTTATTTCACCCAAAAAGAAAAAAACCACTAGGAAAAAATTTATTTTTCTAAATTTACAAACTTTTGATGGTAAAACACAAAATGCATATTATCGAAAAAATAGTAACTTACAAACTTGCTGGCAATTTAATAAGCTTTCATTTTGTATATGACCATAATTTTACTTGGACGCATAGTTTCCGAGATTTTTACAAAAAACTGAAAAATCGTACCATCAAGCGCCCCTCCCTCCACCACAGCACAAGGGCTAGAGGTAGGGACTTTTGGTACATTTACCTCCTAAATTGCGATAACTAATCAAATCTAACTAATCAAAGTTACGAAGTCAGAAATCATGTTCCAAACATTTCCCTCTAACCTTTTCGTTGCCTGGACTATAGCCTACTAACGAAATGTAGTTTTTCCTACCAAAAAAAAGATTTGCGATTATGGAAAATGTATAACTTTAAACTATTTATCCCAATATGTTTCATATTATCAAATTTTGTCGTAGATTTAATTTGTGTCAATATACAGTTTTAATGACATAGTATGATGATTTGTACCATTTGAACTCATGTTAGTAAAATGTTTTTTTTAAGATAAACCATCAATAGATTGTATGCGTTATAAGTTGTTTGTACCATGGGTTTGTACACATTGATAGTTTGTTTTTCATTATGTCTGTCCGTTGGTATACCATTTAATGTTGTAAAAAAAATAAAAATTGTAACCAGATACTTAATTGTGCAATATTGGTCTCTTAGAAAAACTGTTGAAGTTTGTTGTCACGATTAACCAAAATCAATTTATACTATACCATAGTTTTGTATTCATTAACCATAACCATCCTAGAAATATACTACCATAGACTATATAACACTATATAGTCATAAGCACAAACATTCAATGTTGTAAGTAGCTGTCAAACACTAACTTATTGTCTTTGTAAATTGGTGTATTGCCGTTGGTAAATAAATAAAATAAATAATGTTATATAATCAATGGTACTACCGTCTGGTTCAGAAACTTAGCTGGTGCTGGGCACTACCCAAATTCACTAGACAGTGAATTCGAAAAAAGCTAATTGTGTCTGAAAATTGAGGGCTAAGAAAATATATGGACCAGTTCATGATAACGAAATTAAGCACTTCGATCGTCAATTGAAATTGTATTCCAAATTCCAATTACTTTAGTTCCACAAGGTTGCTTCTTAGAAGACTAGAAGAATGAGGTAGAGAACCAGATTGACCAGCTCGCTCCCTGTATAATAAATAAATATAAGAAAAATGTAGTATCGTAAATTGCTTTCTTCACTCAACTTTAAACATTAATCAGCGGTAAAATTCTCTTCGTTTCTGGTTTCTCCCATCGGTACCGTACCGTCAGCTGTTGTTGTTTTGTTTCTCCTGCTCCTGTTCCTCACTTGCTTCTTCTCTTCTCTACAACCTCCGGTCCGGTTAGCCACAAAACACTGTAACGTAACACACACAACAACAACATAACCTGCCCTGCTGACCTGACTGTTCTTCCGTTCTTCGTTCTTGTTAACTGTCGCTGTTATTCTCTACTAACTTGTGTGTTGTGTACTAACTGCCTATTTCGAAGACAATAATTTCAGGTTAGTTGACAACATCAAGAAATATGTACAAACTATTAAAATTAGCTGGACTTTCTCAAGTTGTCAGAAAAAGTACATGTAGGCCTAGGCCTACTTGCCACAGAAACATGCTAAGACTATCCGCTATTTCAAATAACTTTCAAGATTCTATTTCCTTATGCCAGGTGCTTCAGCTACAGCTAAGTACTCTATCTTATCAAAATAAAAGGGTAGGCCTACTCAACATTTTGGGACTACACAGTAAGAAACTAATAAGTTAAATATTAATTTATGCATGCTATGCTAGTATTTGTTTAAATTTTGACGCCTTAGTATATAGCATCCCTCCAATCAAACTTTTGGCTCTTTTAAGCTTCATACCTAGAATAGCTATTTGTGTTTTTAAGAACGCAAAGTATGTCTTTGCCGCTCAAGAACTGTAGATGGCAGCACGAAACTTAAGCTGAGTGTGGCCATAAATTTTGTGAGCAGCAATGACTGTTTTTGCTCTTAATACACACAAGATTTTTGAAACCACCGTAAGTTAACTTAACCCTAGAGCTGGCACTAGTGTAACGCTGTACTGGCATAGGGATATTATTGATTATGTAATAAAGTGAAAATTTAAAAACGTACGTTTTCAAGAAAAGCACTTTGAAAATTTGTTTCCCTTTTTTTCAAAACTTTTATTATTTTTTTTATTTCATTAACATTTGAAGTTTCATAAAATGTTCATGGTATTTTAACGCAATATCTTTGGTAGGTAGTTTTTTTTTTAAAGAGCATCTTTAGTGGAAAAACACAAAATTCTGTCACGACCATAACAGACGTTTAAATGAATATTAAAAATAGTTAATATTATTTTTATAACTATGTTTGCTATAAACTAATTTACTTTTATGACCATTATACAAGAAAAAGGTCACTGAGCTTTTGGTACAGTATATTTGGTCTTTCTAGAAAAAAATAAAAAACTCAAAAAATTTTAAAAATACCAATAAAATCTTTTTAAGTTTGTATAACTCCAAAAAAACTTACCTGAGACCCGAAAAATCGTCATGTTTGTATAGAGGTGTGCTTCTTTTGTGTATAAAACATTGTAATATGACGATATTTTAATTTTTGAAATTTTTATGATAGAAATCATAAACGTGATGGTCAGGGACAAGCGGTACGGTCGTGAATTTTCTGAAATAATATAAATATTTCTAAACAATCCTTCAATTATACTGTTAGTTATAATAAAAATATGTGTTTCAATTGAACTAAACTGTTCGATTTACAATTATATTAAAGTTATTGTCACGACCAAACACACTATAATCCATAAGGCTGGATTGCCCGTGAAAAAACCCGCGATGGTCGTGAAACTTTGGTCGTGAAAATACGTTTTATTTGGCTCTGTTCTGGCGGTAGCCCTATACCTCATGTTCGAGGATACAAAGTGGACTTCTAGGTTAATGTAGCAATTGAAATATCTTATAAAGAAAAATTAACACCATGTCTACTTCATCGAATGACTACGTATGGTCATGGACACACCAAAATTACAAAAAACACAATCTTTCCTTTATTAATCTTGTAATTCCTCCTTTCAACTCGAAACGACCGGCACTGCAATCCTGACGTACACCCTGAACTAGTCTTTAAAACCAACTGACTCCATCGACGCCAGGCTTGCCACTGTCTTACTCCAAAGTTGAAAATTTTTCCCAAATAGTCGTGACGCCAAATCGAGGGACAGACTTATTTTGTCATGGTAGTCAGTTTGCAATGGCAATAAAATTATAATATGCTCCTTTTTTGTAAGTTAAATATAACCATTGATGACATAAAAATATGGCTTTATATATTTCGGCATGAATAATTAGTCTAAAAACAGCGTGAAAGTTGGAAAATGTACCCTAGGGACACGTCATGGTCGTGAATTTTGATACTTTAAAAATACGAAAAAAATACCTAGAACCTATTTAAAACCAAATAAATGTGTGTAACATGTTGCCCCCGTCTCAAAAAATATTAAAACACATAATAATAAACTACAAATCCAGTATCTACGAAGTAAAAGGCCAGGGACATGAAAACGTACGTTTTTAAATTTTCACTCAATAACATTTTTAAACCATCATAAAAATTAGAAATAGCAACATAACTATGGATTGTTATATATCATTTTGTTCAGAATAAGACAAAGAACAATAATATATAGGTGGTTTACATGGTTACCACAAAAAATTTTTTTTAGTTTTTCCAAATTGTAGGCATTAAAACTTATTAATTTTTTTATAAAATGTTTTTATATTCCGTCGTATAGGTAAGTGCATGTAAGACTTATCATCATAAGGTAAATTGTAAAGTTGTGGTAAATTTTGTGCTGATTCCAAAAATATAAAGTTTATTTTGTGTATTTTGTTTGATATTATGTCGATCGTACCAAATACTAAAATCCAAAAAAATACCAAATGCTAGTACCAAATAACCATCCAACCCAGATCATGTACAAAACCTTACACCTTATATAATATATAATTCCAGGGTACTCTGGTTTGTATTATTTAACTTATTTATTAAAACAGTAAAAAAAGGAACAAAACTTAACAAAAAAAAAAAATTTTATATAGGCCCACCGTAACACCTGCATTGGCGCCGTATATCCGGCGTTGCCATTTCGGCCGCGGCCGTTCGCGCCGTATATCCGGTATTTGCCGGCGCTAGGGTTAATTTAACTTATAATAACACACAGATTAACTTTTCAGATGGAGCATTTAAGTTATAAAATGTCATTTAGGACATGGTGGAGTAAATTTACTTCCACTATGATTTAGGATATGTTTGCTTGTTCGCGAACTCGTTTGATAAACGTAGGTCTAAAAACACATTTGTACCAAATCAGATTATTTTTGGCCAAGCTATCGCGCTACATTAACTGACACATTTAAGTTAGGTATTATGAATTTGTGAATATTGATGGTGTTTTTGGCCTCTCGGGGCCTCAAAACGAAAAAGTAAATCGGTCCCGGGTCTAGGTCTTACCATGTGACCTACGTTAATAGCTTATTCCCTTATGGGAAATTTGCTAAAAAGGAATTACAGTAACTTATAACTTATTGTAGTTGGTTTTTAGGTGGTTTATTTTCACCTATAAATTTAAATTGAAGCTTTGATAAGTTAGGTTGTTGTTGAGCAACTCATCCCATTCACCCAAGAACCCAAAATATCTAATTCACTAACTCCTACCCCTGTTTAACTTTAAAACTCTCCCTTTGAATAAGGACCTGATTTAATTAGGTAGGCCTAACCTTATACCTATGCAATCTAAAACTTACTACACTAGTCCTATGTAAAGTTGGGTGTAGGCCTATACAATTTTCTCCCATCTAAGTTAGTGTTGTATTTATGTCAGCTGCTTATTAGTTTAGTATACCGTAAGTAGTATAAGTTAATATTAAGTATAGTTAGTTCATTAGTTAAGCTGCTTTTTGGCTAGCTATATAAATGTGTTCAAATCTCAACTTTTAGTTTGATTTACTTGTAGCCTCTTTGTACTTGTTCTTTTTTGTTTAAGAAGTTTTCTACTCTAATATATTTTCCCAATCATGCAATTTTACCTTGACATTGAGTGATGTTATTTTAACCAACCCATGAGGTACAGTAGGCCAACTGTAGAGCAGAGCCTTCAATCCCTGGCTGTGTTGTCACAAACTCTAAGTCACTAGACTTATTTTACCACACAATAAATATATTTGTGAATTTTCCATGTAGGTAGTGAACAAGCTAAGTACTGTAGGTGTCGTGTTAAGAGCTAGATTCGGAGCCGATTTTCCTTTTGATGCTCCCAGGTGCCAAAAACACCTCAAATTTATATTTTATATACCTGTATATATATGTCTCTCTAGATAACTCGAGTTAAAATTATCTGATTTCCATTAAATTTGATACCTCATTTAAACAAGTTTGCAAGCTAGCATGAACGGACTACGGGTAAGGAAGTATAGAGGGGGTTTTATGAGGTAAATATTTTGGTTATTAATTGAACATATTATTCAAGTCATCATTTGCATTTTCTATCGTGAAACTCCAATAGGCCTAATGAAGCCCAAATATCTGAGCAACCTCAGATAACCCCAACCCCAAATAATCTGAGGGTACAACCTTGTAATATTGTATATTTTCCTGACATTCTGGCCTCGTTGCAGATGGCAATTTTCAGAGCAGTAGCCACAGAGAAGTAAATTAGGCCTACAGAGAAAACTTGCTTATGGGATGACTGTGACCTTTTAGTCCTAGTATGTTGTGCTGGAAACATACATGTGACAAGCAAAGAAGAGCTTGAGCACCGAGCACTGTGTGGAAATTCCTATTGCATAGGGCACAGGTTTTCCTCCACCATGAGCGTTTTAGTACATAAGGGCAAGAGTTTAGGTGAGTCGGTGGCTCAGTTAGTAGCGTCACGGACTTGGAGCCAAGGCAGCGATGTCGTGGGTTCGGATCCTGGTCACTGCCACTAAAATTTATCAGTACAGTTCACTTTCGTACTGTACCAGCTCACCCCTTGCTTTGCTGGATACGTTCCATGCACAGATCTGTAGTCTATAGTGTATGGGCAAATGCAAGGTAAAGAGGCTCGCCAACCTCTTAAAAAAAAGAGGGGCGCTGTTGGGTTTTGTTTTGCCCTAGACACCAGCAACTAGAGCTAGACACCACTTACCGGTAAGCCTACTTGATACTTGATGTCTTTATTGTTGACTGAATTCCCAGATAGATTGCGCCAGGTTTCATTTTCATTTTGACATTTTCATTTTGCCCTAGTACTCAGTTCCCCTTTGGTACGCTAATGTAATAACTTATCTCATTGCTGGATACAGGAAAGCTATGTAGAGTTTTTGACAGTCTACAATGGTCGATGTCAAAATCTCGCTCTTCTAGTTGAATATGAGTGAATGTCTTGAGCCGCTTTGCGTAGCATGAGATGTCATCTTTGATCGGGAGTTTGGCACTCAGATACTGACTGTCAAGATACCTAGTGATAAATGATAAATGATTTATTTAGCCATTCAGTATGTACAAATATACAATAGGCATTGTCAAAAATGCAGAGCATTACCACCTTGAAAGGGTGATTTACCCTTTTATTTCCAGTAGTTGCTGGAAAGTAGGCCTACTGTGCCCAAGCAAGATAGCCAAGGTAATAATACCAAGAGGTTTCTTTTGTAGGAGAAGGATTTTAAAGAATTTGTTTAGAGCACTTAAGTGTAACATTATTACACAGAGGTACAGAGTTCACTCTGTACCTTACTTTTCTGTGCAGCAACAGAGCATTGATCAGTTAACTACTACACGGTTTACCCCAAAGCCGTAGTTAAGTGTGACTAAAGTAGCCTTACTTATTAATTGAAGTGAAGAAATTGTCATATTTAACATAAATATGATTCTTAGGCATGAATGGCCCTGACTAAAAAAAATTAAATCTCAATAACAAAGCTGACAAGGCATCTCTGTCCATTCTACACTCATCCTTCATCCATATTAGGTTAAATTACACTTGAATCTGCATCTTAATTAGCAATAAAAGAAGTCTTGTATGCTATAAAAGAATTTTTTGAAATTTCTACAGCTGTTGTAAGTAGATGCTTTTGATTGCTTTTGCTGTGCCTGAAGTTTGAAGTAGTTTGTGCATGGTGTGTTTTTTGAAAGTAGATAAGAGTAGTTTTGTGCACTATTTATTCACTATTGTAGTTGTCATTATTTAACTATTTATTTATTATATTTGCCTGTTTTTGTGCATGGTGTGATTCAAGCTAAGTCAACCCAGTTTACTAACTGGGACTGTTAGCCTAACTGATTGTTGCCAGATGATTATTATATGACTTGTCTGATTGCATGTAACTGCATGTAACTGCATGTTTAAAAGACCAAATAAAATTCTCATTCTCATTCTCAATTCTCATTCTCATTCTCATTCTCAATGATAACAATAAACTCTAAACGGCTAAATATTTTTCTAATAGACGGAAAGAGTCTTAACCGATCAAAAGTAATTTTTAATAAGTCGATGTAGTTGTAGTAAGTTAAATTAATATTAAGTTAAATATGAAGTGTAGTATTCGATCTCCCAGATTACCATGGATTTATCACTGTGTGAACAGACGTACATGTTCCTAAAAAATTTTAATTTCAATTTAAACAGGTGATCCAAAGTGAAGTAGATCTCCTCTTAACCGACCCTAGCGGGAGCTGACCTACGTCGGATAACTCAAAAGGTCAGTTAAAAACGGACAATCCCTAAAATCTTAAAAAAGTAAAGTGCAAGGCTTACTTATTTATTTGGAAATATAATCATTATTCTGAAATTGTGTGTGCATTATTTACAAAATAAACTACACTCATCTCCTTTAGTATTGACTATTTCATAAACCCCAAACACTTTAAAGTCAAATACATTCAGTGGAATAAGCTTACAGTATAGTTCTTGGCAATAATGAATAAAAATTATAATTTTATTACTTTTAGTAATTAATATGAATTTATGCCTTCCAAATTCATTGTAATACATTGCCGAACTTCCCCGTGTATCCGTGATGACGTCCCCGTGATTGCGGCTCGCGGGACACGTTTACGATTTAGCTGCGGGTGACGTAAAATGTGTCCTCATGATCACAGCCCGCGGGACATGTTCAAGATTTAGCCACTGTCACGAGTGTCGATGATGCCCCCGTGATTGCGGCCCGCGGGAAATGTTCAATATTTCACCACGGTTGCGGGTGTCGATGATAATATTACCGTGATTGCGGCCCGCAGGAGATTTTCACGATTTTGCCGGGGCTGGGGGTGACAGTGATGATGTCCCCGTGATTGCGGCTCATGGGAGATGTTTACGATTTTACTGCTGTCACGGGTGACAGCGATGATGTCCTCAAGGTCACGGGATATGATCACAATTTTGCCATGGTCGCGACTCGCGAGTGTGATGATGCACATATTTGTTGCAGCCCACGCGGAATAATCATGATTTTGCCGCAGTCACGGTTACCTATGATGGCTTTGACATGATTTCACGATTACTTCCGCGATCGCAAGGAATTTCCATCATAGGGGGAGGGTCGCTCAAGTAATTTGGCCTAGGGCCGCAAGTACCCTAAATCTGGCACTGTCCACAATCCATAATTTTATTATTTGTTCCGTAGTATAAGCTAGATAAGTGCAAGATTGTTTTGGAAGTCATTTGACTCATGACTACCTATTTTCAATGGTGTGAATTTAAATCTACTCTTAGGCCTACATTTTAATTAGTTTTTTTTTTCTTAATACTTTTGCTGTTCTAAAAAAAATGTACAATTTTGTTTTTACTGTAATTCATCAAGTTTATTTAATTTTCATTTGCTGATCCATTCAGTTTATTCTTGATTTACAAAAAACTATAAGTTACAAGTCACTACGTACTTCGATAGAGTCACAAACTAAGAAGCATAAAAATCATATAGGAATCACTTGCACTTTAAGAATGGCTTTTGATAATATTATTTGCCTAATGAGAAAGAATTTTTTTTTCAGAAATAAGTTTATTTCCATATCAACTTTTTGAATTATGAAAAACCTAAAATAATCCAGGGAAATATTATGTATTTTGTATGAAGATTTTAACATGCCAAGTCGACTTGTAGGCCTACTGTACATTATACAAGAGTTAAAACACAGTAGTTAAAATTTACATGTTAACTATGGATTGTTTACATGTCAATTATAAGGCTACAAAGGTTGTTCAACTGGCTGTTTTAAATCGTAGTCAATAACTTACTATTTCAATTCATTATCTTACTGATAAGGTAGAGATAGTTTTGGTAAGAATCATCAAAACTGTGTGAGTAAATGGTTTTCTTATTTCTAATATGATATGATAGATTGAGATTGACCATGGGTAAGTGCAGTGTTATTGTTATTAATATAAAAACTATGTCGGGTTGGGTTTGAAACTCTCTTGTAATGTTTGTGACTGACTCAATACATCTTGATAACCTACTTAACTTCTCACTAATTATTAAAACTGTTGAACAATAATTAATCATTCTGTCATCTATGCGGATATGATATCAAATTTTACAGGAAGGGTCTTTTTTTATGTTTTATTTCATTTATACAAAATGTTTGCTAAGTTATTCATCTGACGTTGTTCCAGTTTTTTTAATGAGTCAATTACTTCTGTTCTAATATTTATACGGTTTTTACAAGTACAATGAATATATTAAGAAATATACCTATACTGATTTTTATCCGCATGATTTTTGAAACATGAATACTTACAGGAGGCACATCAAGTAAGCCTATAGACATGTCGACAAGTGTTAGTGATGAGTTCCGCCACCTTGACTACAAACAGCTGATTGAGACTAAGAACAGCCCGAACAACATTGTGATTGATGTGAGAGAGAAGAAGGAACTGGATGAAACTGGAGTAATCCCTGGAGCTCATCATATTCCTCGTAAGCAACTCAATTATAAAAATTATTTATATAAAAATTACATAGTGACTTGAGAGTCAGTGTGGTGGAGCAGTGTTAGGGTTTCAAGATAAAAGTAAGCATATGGCCATCTGTGTACGTTGACTCTATAATTTCAAATCGATTCAGTCCAGAAGTTGGCAACCCTTGCTCACACTACCAACTTCTCATGGCAACGCTCACTAGCACTTGACGCTGCAGTGACGTGTGCCGAAACTACACGGCAATCCTAGCGTTGGACGCCAGAATATATACTAACCGCAGCAATGCTGTCTGTCTATATTTGATTCTTTGTCTATACTTACTTCCTTTCCTTGTCCGGAAATCAGACTTCGCTTTTCCAAAAAATATCTACCGATATGGCTTTGTTATTCGCTTGTAAAAGATCATCTAATGTGCAAGACTGGTCTAGGCGTGGACAGATCAGCAGATGGCCAGGATCCTGAACAGCACCACTCGCGCACAAGATGTTTTCTTCATCTGGTAAGAGACCCGATTTCTGCATGTTTGTCTTGCATTTTGGTACCTCGACCTAGACCAGGAGCCAGTTCCTAACTGGCTGGTATGGGAGGGTTAATCAACGTGGCCTCCCACCTTGCCACCCGATTGCTTGAGAGTGATCCATCCAGGACTCGTGTCCGTGATAAAAAGCTCTTTCTTGACCGAAGCCGTCGCTCTGCAGGTTGGTGGCCGTGTAATGGGTGACAAGGGTCTGTCTCTTGCTTAGTCCTTTCTGCCTCCGACATCACGTTGGATTGATGGAGGGGCGATCCCTACGATAGGATAGAGTTTTTGTACTGGGCTTGGTTTCAAACACCCAGTTACAATCCGAGCCATGTCATTGACTGCAATGTCAACCTTTTGCAATGTCTCACATTCAACTCACGGCCTGCTTCTCTATTATTTAGGTGAAAGGCACAAACTTGGGTCTTAGCAGGGTTCGGCTTGAGGTGATTTGCGTCATAGTACTGGGTCTTTGTCTATGATACTTTGTAAAATTCTAATCTAAAATATAATGTCAGTTTAGTATAGATTAACCCATTGACGACGACTCACGGGTCTACGGGTCTAGCCCGTTACTGCATTTTGCCGCGAGATAGTCGTTCTGCTAACCCACCTGTGAGCTTATACTGGCAACCAAAACGTTCAGCCGACAGTGGCATGATAGCTCAGTTCAGTGGCGTAGCGACAGTGGAGCGAGTGGAGCAGTCGCTCCAGGGCGGCAAGCACTAAGGGGGCGGGGGCAGCGCCAAGCTAGGATTTTTTTTATACTATGTTGTTAAAAAGCGGGGTAGGGGCAGAAGGAAGGTGAAGGGGAGGGAGGAGGCCAGGACTCCCATATGAACTGCAAATACTGGAAATATTCTACCAATCACAGCGCTGCATCAGGCTTAACTGGTATACTGTAGGATGTTTGGGACTCTGTCCAAACAGTAGTTTTAACTTTTGCCACAACAAGCGCTGAGTGCTGCGCTCTGTCATCACAATCATCATCATTGATCACTGATCAGTCAAGTAACTGAATAGGCCTACTGTAGTGATTTGTGAGGTTATGTTAATTGTGCCACGCGCAGGTGTATTCGAGTTGTTAATTCATTAATATACCACTGTTCCTTTAGAAGTGTTGTGTAGTGCTTATAATGAACTATGGGTACTTACGTATTATACGGAGGCCACTTATTTTACAGCGCGCTGCGGTGGTTAGGTTAGGTTGGTCTATTATAAATATGTTTGTAGGACTTTCCTACTTTCGTTATGAATCGAACCAGACAAGTCATAAAAGCTTCATGATGACCAAACCTAACCGCCGCAGCGCGTTGTATAAGGGTGGCCTCCGTATAATACGTAAGTACCGAACTATGAATTCGGTTATAAATATTTCTACAAAGTATGCTGGTGGTGAGGTGGTACTAAGTTTTGAACAGAGAGTTGAGTTAAAGCTGCTAGGCCCGCCAAAACCCAATTTAACTTAGTTATTTATTACATTAATGTCAAAAATCCTGTAAAAGTAGGAAACGATTTATGTTTGTACTGTTCAATTATGCCTCAGATAATGCTCAAACGGGCATTATCTTCTAACTAATTGCTTAAACGTCACCAACATCTACCCGCCATTTGTAAATTTGCGTCCTTTGCTCAGTTCCTGCTATTTACGTGCACTTGGTAAAGCTATTCTGTTTTTTCGAGGAGATTTCTAAGTATAAGGATAGGTTCTGTCCAAAGAACTCAATATAAATTCATGTTTTTATTTTCAAACACCATAATCAAATAGGTTAAATATAATAAACCGAATTAAAATACCAATTAATGTTTTTAAAATTATTATGTCTATTGCATAAGAACGCTAGTTTACAGTTATTATTTTCAACATTTTTCCCGGGGGAGGACCCTCCCGTCTAACTACTGGGGGCTACCAGTTGGCTAATGTGTTGCACTGACAAGTGTAGCCAACGCCAAAGACCTCGTCAGTCTTTCTACATGTGTGGGTTTGAATCTCGTACATGTGCAATCCATGTTGATCTCGCTAATGTAAGCCTTAGCTGAGGATGACCCATCTTACATAAGCAGTGTATTTGGTTTGGGTGGAAGTCGAGACGGCATAGTGACTTTAAGGATTGCACACAACAGGGGGGACACAGATATATCTTTTTTGGCTTATTTATTTGTCAAAAGTGGAAATATTTTGTTAAAATTTGTATATAATAAAAGACACAGGCCCTAACCTAAAAAAATTATAGATGGATAAATTTAAAAAAAATCTGTTGTCAATCGGTTAACTTAAAAACCCTCTCCATTTACAATTAACCAAACACGCGAAAAGGTGGACAAGGATCCTAAAAGATATGCTGGGGACAAGGGGTACTGAAGTTGAAGTGACCCCTCTCCCCACTCCATTCAGAGAAAGGGGTTGTTGGCTGTCACGTCTAAATTTTGGTAGCTCTTAACTTCAGAAGTTTAAGTTGTTTCAGAAGTTTAATATTAGAAGTTCTTGCCATAGCACACATTGTACAACCCCTTTTAACCATAGAGCGAGCTAAAAGGGTTAACTTCTAAAACATGAGGTGGAGCATGCGGAAGCTTTTTCGTCATCGCAAAATCATACAAATTCGTTCAATTTAATTTGATTTTATCATGTAATTAATTTTGCACTTAAATTCTAATTAAAGTGATAAAGAACCATTGTATAGCATAATATTTAAATTGTAAATTGTTCAACCACTTTTTATTAGTAATATTTCAAAACCCATAGTTAGTTTTTTTAAGGTCGGTATTATGGCAAAAGGCGCGTGTGTGGATTTCATATGCAATGAAGCAATTGTACATTAATAGAAAAAATGTATTTGATAATAAAATAATTATGCAGGCCTTACAAGATAATTGTACTGTAGGAGATGTGTACATTCTTTTAAAAACAAATTTTATAATCAACTAATTTTATTTATTAATATAGCCTATGTAAATGAATTTGTAAGAAATTAACAAAAGCCTCGGTCCTAAATAGGGCGCACACAGAGAAAACCCTACGCAACTTAACCGCATTCTTCATCAACTCACATCTCGGATTGAATCTAGAGGTAGGTTGGGTGTAATCATTGTTTTGGGGATACCCAGGAATGTGGTATGTCGGGTAGAGAGCTGGACACAACTGCCGCCACTAATGAAGTAGTTTTTGTTGTTTTGTTTTTTCCATACTAAAGCTAAACTCCGAAAGTGCCCTAATATCATATGTATACTTTTTTTTTGGGTTTGATCTGACCATCCACAATTATCTCAAAATCAAAGCATTGTAATGACAAAGACTGGTGTTTTTACAGTTGGTGACATTGAAACAGCATTCAACACCCCAGAAGATGAATTCAAGAAGAAGTACAATTTTGAAAAGCCAACAACGGAGGATTCAGTCATCTTTTCTTGTAGATCTGGAAAAAGAAGTTTGGTGGCTTTAGAAAAGGCTTTAGCTAGTGGATTCAAAAAGTAAGTTCTAGGTTCAAGTTAGTTCTTGGTACAAGTTTTATTGTGCCTTTGAGTCAAAATTACAAGCTGTAGGGGAATGGTACCGGTACGATGTTATTTTGTCCTGAAAGTCATATTCCCTGATGAGGATGGGAAAAAGCTTTTACAATGGGGATTTGGGTCTCGGTTCCCTTGTAGACCTGCCACGGCACTCCCTTTATAGCCAGGTTTTTTTACAAAATTAGTACTGGTACACCTATGTACAGTAGAACCTCGCTAATCCGTCACCTACGGGACCGGGAGCATGGTCGGAACAGCAAAAAGTTTGGATTATCAGAGGACCTTGTTTATTAACATAAAAACGTAGAAAAACGTAATATTTTGACCAGACCACGGATAACTGATAACGACTGTTAATCCAACATGACATAAAACAGTTGTTTCCAACTCATAAACAACACCTAATACTAAGTGTATGAATTTACTTCAATGTGAATTTGCATATTACATCATAAAAATACAATTAGTAGGCTATTGCGCAATCATGATAACTATGTTATGTCATTAACCTTGGTTCAGTTATAAAAACTGTAACGTTTAAAATCACAGCTTTTTTACTTTTACTCAAACAAACAAATTGCCAAACATTGTACAGCAAAATAAAGAACAGAACAATAGAAAGTCTAGTAAGCTACTGCTAGTCATAGGCTACTGCTACGCTATTGCAGGACAGAAGAATGTCAATACAAAAACATTAGATAACGCATAAAAAAAGTATTTAAAATAATAGTAGCATAATAACAGTCGTAAAATACACCGATACAGATAACAATGGCAAAAAACATCCCTTATTCTTTCTCTTTGTTCTTCTATTCTTTCTTGAGTTTCTCTTCGTCCACCCATTCAACAAGTTGCCATGGTTACTAATCACCCAATCACAGGCTACTAAAGTTGTCATCACCCAATCACAAAATGTTGTGACATAGCAAGCACACAGCAGACAGATGTGTCATGCTCATGATGTGTATGCCTAAGGAGCAGACGATTGTCAGTGCAAACGGATAGCTTGACCTTGAAGCTTTGATGGACATTCCTTTGTTTTGCTTCCAATTTATTTTTGTCAAATGAACTGCAATTTTTCAAAAACAATAATGTGGGAGTCTACTTAATATTAATAATGGGCAGGCATGGTTAAATATAATACGAATTTCAACACATTGACATTAGAGTAAAAAAAAACACAATTTATAAAGTTACTTGGGCATTTTTCTTGGACAATGAGGTTATGTTAGCGGAAGCCTATTGTGTTGGTGGCACGGTCGGTGGACCAAGGGAAGAATCGGACCATCAGAGGTCGGATTAGCGAGGTTATGCCGTATGATCAACATGTTAGTATTTTTTAACTGCCTCATGATACAACATTGATGCATGTATGCAATCGAATACACCCTGTATAATCACGATACTTGGACCTCAAATTTGTTTGACCAGACGCCCGCACCAGACGCGACCTCTTGTGCTCGCAGGATCGACTGTAAGTTGTAGGCCTACTTAACTTGTGAAGTAGTGAAGTGAAGTTCCACTGGGTGTTGCTCTAAAAAAACTTATTCTAATATTAAATTAGGACATTTATTGCAAGATAATAATGGGTAAGGTATGTCTGAATCACAAACAGCAGTTTAACGTTTACTACAAGATGTAAACGTAAACAGTTTTGCAAATTGTTAAAAACTCGCTCCATTTATTTTTTTAATGTCCGGGGATAAACCCCCAGAACCACCATTTGGTATGGGGGTTTTCCATATCCTCCTAACCCTCCGGAAAGTTTTGTACCCCCAGAAGACCCTGGTCACGCCTTTGCATTTAAGCCTACTCTTAACAAAATGTCTCAACTCAAAAAAAATGTCAAGTAATCCATGTGCATTGCATAACTTATTGCCAGGCTGTTTCTAACTTCTATTGAAGAATTTGGATGTGCTTAGCTATGAATCGTTGTAAATAAATTTATCAGTGTGAGAGTAGTCTTAACTTGTACGCTCCAATACCAAACAATAATACTCTCACCAATCTATTCATTATCAGGCATAATAAGGTCAGACATTTCTATCCTCGAGTGCTTTTGTTTTAACACCACATGCTTTGTCATTTGGCCTTGTTCTATTAGTTAGCAAAGATTGATCGATCTTGGTAATGAAAATCGAGCATTTGCATTTCTTTTTGATCAATAAATTGTATTGCTGTTTATTACAACATTGTTTTTAATGTTTCAGTGCCAAACACTACAAAGGAGGCTGGTTGGACTGGGAGAAACACCTATCCGAGTCTAAAAACTAAACACTCCTTAAACGTTCACTACTAGAAGACTGTTATTGAGCTATTATTCTATTAAAAATTGTAATAAGATGTTACAAACAGAGAAGATTAAGGATATCGTTATAGTTATAATCAAAGTTAGTATAGTACAGTACAACAACAATGATTTATGACTGCCAAAATGTCTCATAAGGTTTTATCAATATTTTATTAAATCTAAGGTAATTCAATGAATCATTAATTTGTAGAATTTGCTAGGGTGCTTATAAACAGTCCTAATTCTAAATAGATTTTTTCTTTTTCAGATCATTACTATGGCATTATTAATCTAGAATTTTTCTCTGAAAAAAAAATAATCCAATGTTTTTAATTGGACAAATTTAATAGGTGCTCATTTACATCTAATCATCATTCAAACAACAATTTAATAGGACAAAATTAAGAAGTTGTGAAGATTGTAATTGTATTTCTTGTAAAAGATATATAATTATTTGATCAAATGTTTGGTTTGGAGGGAATAATGTCAATTTTCTTAACGTATATCTGCGCCTTAATTTGTCAAAAAAGGGTAATTGACAAAGACAATGATCAATACACTGAAAACTACACAACTGTTGAACAATATGTTAGCTCCAAATCATATAGATAGCTTAAATAGACAGTACTTTCAAAGCTTAAGCTGTACTCAACTATTGTAAGTAATTTTACTTTATAGTAAATTAATTATTTTTCTGTGTATATTATAATCATGGTGTTATAATAGGTATATAGTTGGGTAGCTGAGAGGTAATAGTGCTCGCCTAGTAATCAACAGGTCGCTGGGTCGATCCTGAGAAAAGTTAGTAGCTTTTGGATTGTTTGAAACTAGACCCAGCTGTCCTTGATCATTGGGCCTAAATGGTCCTGGCTAATGAAACAGCTGGTCTCAATCAGTAACAAGCTATTCAATATCAGAGGCGTAAGTACAATGATAAGTACATCGCCATAGATTTCCGTGACCGCGGCCAAATCTTGAATATCTCCATCTTCATGTAGATTTCGTCTCCCACGGTCGTGCAAATTCGTCATCGTTTTCCGTGATCGTGGCAACATCTTGTACATCATCCGCAGTCTTGTAGCTTGTCGACATCATCATCGTCTCCCGCAGTCACAGTAACGTCATCTTTTTTAACGGAAAAATCATGAATATATTCTTCTGTCTTGAAGACATCATCTTCATCTTCTGCGGCCACGAAAATAAGGTCAACTTTCTCTGCGATTGTGGCAAAATCGTGAATATCTTCTTCAGTCTTGTAGACATCATCTTCGTCTCCCGCAGTAACAGAAAGTACTTCAACTATTTCTGTGATAGCGTCAACATCATGAATATATTCTTACTTCTTGAAGACATCATGTTTGACTCCCGCGGTCACGGAAGCAACGTCACTCTTTCTTCGTGATTAAGGTGGATTATCAGCCCCCTACACATCAGCGCCATCCCCACACTGCGGGGGTGTTATTTACACCTCTGCAAGGCATCCCACCCATTCATTCATTCTACACTCATATTTGCAGGGTGTCTAGTAGTCGGGAAAATCGGGAAAGTCGGGAATTAGTATTGAATTTCAAAATGGTCTTGAAAAGTCGGGATTTAGTCTTAAATTTGATTTCAAAGTCGGGAATTTTCATGATTTTGCCGCGATCGTCGTCTTGCGTTTACGTAACCGCAAAAGCCAATGATGATGTCTACACGGCCTCGGGAAATGTTCACGATTTTGCCGCGATAGTGGACGACGACGATGCCGTTTCCGAAACCACGAGAGACGACGATGACGTTTCTGTGACAGCGGGAGACTACGATGACGTTTCCGTGACCGCGGGAGACGACGATGACGTTTCCGTGACCGCGGGAGACGACGATGACGTTTCCGTGACCGCGGGAGACGACAATGATGCCTACACGGCCGCAGGAAAGGTCCATGATTTTGCCGTGATCGCGGACGACGACGATAACGTTTTCCGTGACCGCGGGAGATGACGGTGATGTCTAAACAGCCGCGGGAAATGTTCATGATTTTGCCGCGATCGCGGACGACGACGATGGCGTTTCCGTTACTGCGGGAGACGACGATGACGTTTTCGTGACCGCGGGAGACGACGATGATATCTGCTCGGCCGCGGAAAATGTTCATGATTTTGTCGCGATCGCGGACGACGACGATGACGTTTCCATGACCGCGGGAGATGACGATGACGTTTCCGTGACCGCGGGATATGACGATGACGTTTCCGAGACCGCGGGAGACGACGATGACGTTTCAGTGACCGCGGGAGACGACGATGATGTCTACACGGCCGCGGGAAATGTTCATGATTTTGCCGTGATCGCGGACGACGACGATGACGTTTCCGTGACCGTGGGAGATGGCGATGACGTTTCTGTGACCGCGTGAGACGACGATGAGGTCTACACGGCCGCGGGAAATGTCTATGATTTTGCCGTGATCGCGGACGATGACGATAACGTTTCCGTGACAGCGGGAGATGACGGTGATGTCTAAACAGCCGCGGGAAATGTTCATGATTTTGCCGCGATCGCGGATGACAACGATGACGTTTCCGTGACCGCGGGAGATGACGATGACGTTTCCGTGACCGCGGGAGATGACGATGACGTTTCCGTGACCGCGGGAGATGACGGTGATATCTGCTCGGCCGCGGGAAATGTTCACGATTTTGCCGCGATCGAGGGAGATGACGATGACGTTTCCGTGACCGCGGGAGACGACGATGACGTTTCCGTGACCGCGGGAGACGACGATGATATCTGCTCGGCCGCGGGAAATGTTCATGATTTTGTCGCGATCGCGGACGACGACGATGACGTTTCCATGACCGCGGGAGATGACGATGACGTTTCCGTGACCACGGGAGATGACGATGACGTTTCCGAGACCGCGGGAGACGACGATGACGTTTCAGTGACCGCGGGAGACGACGATGACGTTTCCGTGACCGCGGGAGACGACGATGATGTCTACACGGCCGCGGGAAATGTTCATGATTTTGCCGCGATCGCGGACGATGACGATGACGTTTCTGAGACCTTGGGAGACGACAATGATATCATTGATGTATACAAGGCCGCGGGAAATGTTCATGATTTTGCCGTGATCGCGGACGACGACGATCACGTTTCTGTAACCGCTGCAGTCAATGATGTCTAAACCGTGACATGGTACGTCTCTTGATGACGGTTCGGATTTACGGTACGTGGAAGATTTCATGATTAAAATAAACCAAATTTGCTAGTTAGAACTTTTTATTGCTGCATTATTTCTTTACTTGAAAACACCACATTATCATAATACTACTTGATGACAAAGACAGGGGTTGGTGTAGTATTATTCAGAAAATTTGGTTAAGCTATAAAAATTGGTATCGGTATCAAGAATCGAGAATCGATACATTTTGGTATCAACACCCACTAATTGTTGAAAAAACTAGTCTTGAAAAATCTGGAATTAGTCTTGAAAAGTCTGGAATTAGTCTTGAATTTTATAATGGAAATAAACTAGACACCCTGTATTTGGGTTAAAACTAGGTGACATCCCCATCACAATTTGGTAATTTTAGTTAATTTGCTCGGGCCAATTCCTTCACGACCAAGTTTAATTAGGATGCTTTGTCATTGGAGTTTGTACAGTTTTAACTTTATATTTATTGGAATATTTATTTGTAGTCTTTAAATCATATGTTATATGTCATATGTCCTACTTAACATAACAGTACTTGAGCAAAATTTCAATTGTTACCTGTGAAAAATAAATTATTAAATAAATATATTTATGCAATGTTGATATACATAGTTTGTTTTCTCTATAACATAACCCAAATCCGTCAGGTTTTGATTCTCAGGCTTATGTGCAAACTACATCTTCATTTTCTCTCATTATAAGATACTGATACTAGTATACCTATTGCTCGAAATCGAGTAATTGTCAAGTACAGTACATGAATTATCTATAGATTAATTTGAAACTGTTTTTCATTGTCACTGCTAATTTGAGAGAACTGCTGGGCGTAGAAACTCGGTAGAGGTGTCTAAAGAAAGCTCTTGGTCTGTACATTAGCCATCAAGAGAGAAACGAGGTAAATTCCCTTGGGGCTCTGCCCAGTGGTCTTTGAAGTTCCTCCCCCAGATTTGTTTACATTACAATCATATGCATAAGTTTTCACTACTTTTTAATCAAACAGCTGATAAGACTTAAAGAATTTACTGAATCTGTTAAAAAAAATATTTACATAGTCGGAAACATAAATATTTTTTATTGTGTAGTAAGTTGTTGTGCAGTTATACGGTTTTATTTAATTTACCCCTATTACAATACTTTTTATTGTGTACTAAGTTGTGCAGTTATGCAGTTTTTATTTAATTTACCCATTTAGGACTTATTTATCCATCTAGAGCAATGTCTCAAACTCCAACTACATTGAAACAATGCCAGAAAAGCCTTGCTGGAAAACGAGAGCGATCCAGTAATCGCTTAACCCTTTGCGGTCAAATGGCGAGTATACGTCGCCGCCTTTCATTTTCCGACTGCTCAAAAATGGCACTGTAACCTTGAATGTATGGAACACTAATAATAGCACCGTTAGTGTTCCATTGTGTGAGCTGTTCACACTACACCTTTTATAGACTATAGTGTTTTTGGTTATTATTTGCATGTTGTATCATGACTTGACTGCTATACAGTGCATATTTTTGGACTGCTACCCTCTGTAGTGTATTCCAACTTAGGTTGAGCGTTTGCTCAACTACTGTGTTTAAAACTAATAACAGTCATAATAGGCCAGTCAATAACAGCATTCAACCTCGCAAACGCGCATGTATCTACGATTTTTTTATATGTTGTTAGGTCCCCTAAGAGTAGTTTATACCCAAGTTTGCAACCCTGAAAACCCTGTGCTTCTCTCATGATACTTGAAAAACTGTAAAATTCTGGCTATTTTTTTGTTTTATTGAAAAAAACTGACTGAAGGAAGCGTTTATCAGGTATATGTGTCCGATACTTTTTTAAAGTTAACTAAATTTGCAACAATTGGAACCCAGTTTGAGCCCATTAAGTCAATTTCTTGCGGATATACAGTTAGTAAAAAATATGAATTTTTTTCAAACATTGAAAGATTATCAGTAGGCTCATTTGCCAAGATGCGTGCAGGCTGAAGTAATGATCATAGAGAAAAGTCTTTAGGAAGGATTTTGTAGAGAATTTAATAAGCTTTATTTCAATTCCAAAGTTGTGTGTCTATGCCTTACAGTTTCACAAACAAATTTAAAATATAAAAATATCATATTTTGCGTAAATGTTGTATTTGGGGTTGTATTTCTTAAAAAGATTCGGACTCTACCTTCAAGACATGCTTGGCCTAAAAAAACACATGAAGTCAGACGAGTATCGCACGTTCACAGGGGGATCCTTCACAAAACGTCGCTCTGATAAGTTCTGGTCTGGTTTGTGGACAGATTCGACCATGGAACACGTACTGATGAGGTCCATGAAAAGCCAGGGTGGGCTAACTCATGGTCGGGGAATATCAAGCAGTGTGCTGGCGCGCTGGTCAGTAGGGTTGGTTTCCATGCTCAACATTTGCGAGGAGGTGGAACGTTTCACTGAAACTACGACTCTAACATCAGAACAGCACGTTGATATGAGGGCATCCCAAATTGCGAGAGACACTGCAGATACAAAAAAATAAATATCTGGTTCAACACCCACCCTCCATTCCCAGTCAGCGATCGCCTATTTTCTATCCACAGTGGTATCGTCGGAGGCCCTGATATCAACTTCCACTTACCTTAAGAACTGGGAGCAGGAGGAGTGAAACAAATTGTTGGTAACAACTTTGGTAAAGTAACTTCTAAACGAAAGGACAAAGTGAAGACCTTGACGTCAGGCACCACGTCTGTAAAAGTATTCAACAAGAGAGTTGATGTTGATCTCCTTATATATTCCAGAGGGTCTGCGTCAACAAAACAATCAGATGTACAATTGAAGCAGCATTTTGCGTATGAGCTAGCACCGTATCCACTGTCTTTATTCACTTAAGAAGGAATGCGCAAGGGCACAAAAATCTTCCTTCTATTCAGCATTTATGAAAACACTACTCTACACCGCTCACTGAAAACATCATCCCAGGAAACGAAGCGTTCATAGTGATTGATGGTGGTACATCTTGCACAATGTTATCTGGCATCGAAATGATTCAGTCAGATACATAGTGGTGGGATATGTCAGCTATTTTTACTTTAAACCACTTTGGTAAAAACGTTGCTGTGGTAATTTATGGATACCCCAAGATGCAGCTACCAAGAGCACTAAACCAGATGAACGCCTGTGACGCTCTACTTCTCTCTCATGCAGAGACATTTTGTTTGATGAACTAATACCCATCAAAGTGTCCCAAGCAAAAATGATCTCAAATGAATCCAGCAAACACCGACTGATCACCATGTTGGGTACTGTATTTGAGATGCATTGTATTTGAATACATCAATCTCAAGAGTACCCCGATTCTCATATAGTGAGGACTGGCCTCTCCAAGAGTTCATCGTTCAATCAGGTTTTTATCATTGGGGAGGATGTCGACCTACTGGTGCTCCTCAGCGGATTAAGCTCTGGAGTCTGGACAGACAAACGTGTACTTCCAGAAAGGCGGGAGAGGTGGATCAGAGTGTGCCCAATATCCAGCAAATTCAGTATATTTCTTAGTAATTGTTTGTTTTTTAGAAGCCATGTGTTACATCTATAATCTATAAAATGTCAATTTCACATTCTTGCACTCTTTAAAGAAATAAATAATAACCTTAGTACCTACATTGAGGACATCATTAACGCCTTTTTTAAGAAGCTATAAGGCCTAGACACACCACTTTGGAATTAAATAAAAGCTTATTAAATTCTCTACAAAATCTTGCCTAAAGACTTTCTCTATGACCATTACTTCAACCGATACACATCTTGGCAAATGAGCCTACCGATAAACTTTCAATGTTTTAAAAAAGATGCTTATTGTTTACTAACTGTATATCCGCAAGAAATCGACTAAAAGGGCTCAAACTGGGTTTCAATTGTTGCAAATTTAGTTAACTTTAAAAAAGTATCGGACACATATACCTGATAAACGCTTCCTTCAGTTAGTTTTTTCAATAAAACAAAAAAATGAGCCAGAAATTAACAGTTTTTCGAGTGTCATGGGAGAAGCACAGGGTTTTCAGGGTTGCAAACTTAGGTATAAACTACTCTTAGGGGACCTAACAACATATACAAAAATCGTAGATACATGCGCGTTTGCGATGTTTGCCTTTTTTCGTGTATATATTGACTGGCCTATAAATTTCAATGAGTTCAATGATATTCTTTTTGTGTAATTTTTTACTTTCAAAGTAAGTTGAATAGCAGAGGCAGAACTAACTGGAAAATATTATTATTCATCCCTCCAAGTGAGTGTGATCTGTTCTGTACTTCTTTGGCCTCTATTCATCTACTCTTCCCACACTCATAAAATCTCTTATTAGTTAATTGTTTCCTCTTCCGGTTTTCAATATTTTTTTCATTGAACTTGAGGCATTTTCCGTTCTTTCAACAAAACTGTTTACATTGGTATAACCTCCTAGACACACACACACACAGATACAGTAGATTTCCCATTCTTATGGAACAGCTGAAGCCAATTTTACTGTTAGTTCTGTCTGGTGTACAGTAGTCGCAGCTAGTCTGGGCGCGCGGCCGCGCTAGGGTGGGGGGTGTAGAGGGGAGTTTTTATTGCCCGGGACGGGTGGCGTATCCAGCTACTAGGAGGTCACGAATTGTGGATATTTATAGGCATGCACTGTGGATGTGATTCTCCCTGGTGTGGATAACGTCCGCACGGGTGAGTACTACGACTATCCGCAGTACTATCCTGATAATTAGACCAATTAGTATATACCAAGGAAAAAAAGTAGTTCGGATTCTACTATAAACACTGTAGGTCCCTTAGTCGCCATTAGCTGTATGGGCTATTAATTAACAGCTGTGTCTAAGGAATATGTCGGCCTTAGCCACTAACAAGACTACAAGATCGCGCTACTCATCTCCATTCATACTTGGCTTAAAATACCTACTTTGTATGGTCGCCATTTCAAAGAAAAGTATTAAAGTATTTCCAAAAACATCTGACCCACACGGCTCTTTGGGGTTGTTCAGCGCCTCAGCGTTGTCTTCATGGCTTTGGCGTGAGGGACGTTTAGTACACAAAGGGTCCGCGCGCCCAGACTAACTGCGACTATTGTACTGTAGATGTCATGTTTTGTTTACAATTTGTTTCTTGTTATTCAGTAATTTAAAACCTCGTTTAACCAAATAAAACTATCTAATCATAAACAATAATTTGTCCACTAGCTATATAACCAAAAAATGAGAATATAACCCTAAAATAATAGAAACAAATTGTAAACAAAACATGACATCTACAGTACACCAGACAGAACTAACAATAAAATTGGCTTCAGCTGTTCCAATGATGGGAAATCTACTAAGGGAGTATGTTTTATCCACGGCCACCTTTAACTCGAGGCCACGGCCTTCGAAGTGGCAACGTTGCAAGTAGGGTTGTAACAGCTGTTTTGTTTGGAAGTATCTAATGCTATTTATGTATTTCATTTGGTTACTGGAGTATGATAATATTGACTCCGCTTTAAATGTAGATTTTAAATTAATATTTTTTTTGTTTTCAATTCTGTATGTTTTATTTTCAATATTTTAATAAATTTATGTTCATAAACTTAAATAAATAAAGTGCGAATTAATGAGCTGAT